TGCCTTCTCCTGTAGAGACACACAGTGCCTCAGTTCACAGGGTGAGGTGTCACCACGTAGTTGAATATCTTATAGCTCACACTTCCCTGAAGTGTTGGCCATGTTTCTCCCCCTCACCCCAAGCCACCATGGTATGCTTTCCTTGTACCATGTGGACCCTCTGTCCACTTGCTGAGATGAACCAGCTCACTAGGCAGGCAGCCAACACAGCTTCCTGCTGCTCTGGTGAGCTCATTCATCATGCCAGCAGGTGAGCCAAGAGCCAAACCTGGCACGAGGGAGGAGATGGGAACACACTGCTGGAGGCAGAGGATGGGAGGATCAAGGATGGGTTTCTCCAGGGCAGCAAGCTATTCCACGGTCTGAGAGGAGACAAGAAACCTCACCCTCTGTTGCAATGAAACCTCTTTAACAAAATCAGAGTTATCAGACAACCAATCAGAAATTTCAGGGGGAACTGATTATGGTAAACCTCAGGAAAAAAAATATGTGTTTTTTTTTAATTGCCAGGCATGACATGCACAAACTCACCATGCTCACACAGCCTGCATGCATTTACACAGGGAGATTTGGGATTTCTGCTAGTTTCCTTCATGTTTCTGGAGCTGCATGCAAGCCAGCTGCCTCAGCAACCAGGAGGATTAGGTTCAAAAAAACCAGAAAGTAGAGATCTGAATTCCTCACGTTATATCTTGACTCTAACACTTCAAACTTTACAAAAGAGGCTAAATATCTTGAGACTACTGATAAAAGTCAGGAGAGTTGGCAGTTTTTCAGACATTTATGGGCTTGACAACACATTTTTCTGGTTTTAAGTGAAAACAGACAAAACAGTGCACATGCTAGAATAACGAGCATCTTGGCACATTGCAATTACAATACTGGAACAGACCACTATTCTGTTTTAATGGATACTTTTGAGAAAAACAATCCCCTATGTTCAGCTCCCTGTTACATTTATTCTCCAGAACTCCAGTGCCAAAAGCTTCCCCATCTTCTCTGTAGGCTTTCCAAACAGAGTTCACCTCCTGCGAAGCACCACAAAAATACAGCTGCTGTCAAGCAGCATCTCTCCTTGCTAAGACGGGTTAGAGTCACATCACAGAGAAATGGCAACATGCAGTGCCATAATTACATTCAGACAGCACCAGGAGAGGGTTTTTTTTTTAGAATATAACATCACTGACTCTCTAGTCTTTTGCTTCCATTTAGAAACTCCATGAAGTATTCTATGGATGATAAGCATTGATCTACAAACAGTCTGTATTTCCACACACAGCACCATATCTAGAAATCTTCCAGTATATAATGGTAGTATCGTCACACTAGCACATGATGAATTGGTGAAGAGGAGTATTTTTTTTAGAGTTCCAGCAATATTATCAACTTGGCAGGGAACTATAAATCTTACAACATAGGATTATATTTAATTGTAAGTTAATTTTTGCTATAAAAGAAATTTTAAAAAAAAATAAGAAAATCTCGATAAAATCTTGGGTGTAAAGGTCAACTATTACAAAAAACGTTTCACTGTAACCAAATCACCAGTGATAGTTAAGCCTGGGAAGGCTCAGAGCTACAGGATGAATAGAGCATGCACAGTTACAAAGGCTTACCAAACCTTTAAGCAGATTCTAAAAGTGGCAACTAAAGTTCTGGGAAGATCACTGAAACTAAAGCTATTGTGTGCATAAACTATAAGAAGAAACAACCATTAGCTTCTTCAGAAAGTAAAAGTCTTAAGACACCAAAAATTTAAAAAGGAGTTACCCTCACCAGTTAACAGTAACTTTGGAGCATGAACAAGCAATGCTAAACTAAGATCTTGCAGAGGCTCTTAAAAGCAGTCTAGTGACATAACAGAAATGCTAAAATAATTCAGCTAAAAAGTGTCTGGTTTGGCAATTCATATATCACTGTGCTGCATTTTGAGGTGACATTGTTTAGAGCCTTGAGTCTTTCCATGTTACAGCATCCTCTTCAAGCACATGATAGCATTGAACTTGCCCTACTTGGTAAGAACAACAGTAGAGTTACTGCACTCTGATCATATGGAAATGGTGAATTAGTGTTGGAGCAAGAATAGTGAAAGACAAAAAAAACCTGAGGGGAGCTGGAGGGAATATTACATTGCTGATCCAGCTGGGAAGGAGGCAGAGTGGTGATTTAAGACTTGTTAAAGGGAGAAGCAGGCTGACTTGCTGTCACTACTAGGGCACAGCAAAGGGGACTGTGTCACCTCCAACTCCCTTCTTCTGCTGCTTTCCACACGTGCAATTGCCCAGGGACAAGGTCTACAAGTAACTGCAGTGCAGGGACAGCCACAACTCAATGGATTATTCATCATGCCCCCCTACTTCATCTGTAGCCCACTTACAGCACCTCTACCTGGGACAGAGGTGTTAGGAAATTCTAGTATGAGAAAGACAACTACTGGGTGACACGTGTGTCACGTAGCTCTCTCGGAACTGGGCTATTCAGTGCCTTCTAATTTAATATCCTCAAAATCTCCAAAGACAGCAGTTAAAATTTAAACAGGCATTCTGAAAAGACACTCTTGATCCCATTATCAGTGCCATGGATGGGATTACAATGAGGGTGGTAATGGTGGAAATGTTTTAGGAGAGATCTAGTATCAACAGCAGGAGTGGCCACTAATTGGATTCTTTCTGTGTCACCGCAGAGTTGTCACGGGACCCTCGTTCTCTGTTGAACACTGCAGCTCTCAAGGCGCTCAGAAAGGAGCTTTCTCAATTGTTATCGCATCAGTCTGCCTTCTCACTCAAACACAAATCCCCCAAAGCTCTTTCTAAAGCTAAGGAAATCATGGAACCCATGACTCCCATGACATCTGCGACAAGTGCCAGTCTCGCCTGGGTAAGAATGGACCCTGACATAACACAATGCTCAAACTCCTGGTCCTGCATGAATGTTTGGTCATAAATATATACCATCAAGTGCAGGATGTAAGTTAAACAAAGCTAGATAGAAAACCCCTCCAAACAGTCAAAATAGTCTGCAATGAAGTATTCTAGCCAGAAAAGAATTCACAAATCTTTCAAAATATTTTTTTCCATAGCTGTCTAACATCCACTGAAGTATGTGTTTTTTAATGGCTTCCACATTTAGGAACACCATCCCCAGCATCACAACATTTTAAATAAACTCTTTTTATCAGTTCCTGACTGAAACGAGAGCTGTTACAATAATTTTCACACTGTTACTTGCTATCTCTAGTATACTTCTAGATTTCTACCTGCAATTTTTTTCCTAACTACCTCTCATTTAGCCTACTTTTTGAAGGTGTATTTACATGCCTTTTGGAACTTCACCAAGGGAGGGTTTTTTCGATGTGAAATTACACCAATCATAATTAATTTTTTCCTCTGAAACAGAGACAAAAATCAATGAAAGGCCAAGGACACATGCCAAGAAGCAGAAATTGAAGTTGCATATTGTGATGGAACAAGCTCACCCACCTCGATTATAAAGTGCTAAAAAGAGGAAGCCTCTGACAAGCAATAAACTGACACATAATTAAAGACAATTCAGGGCAGAACACATTCTGGCTGGAAAACATTTTCTTGCACTCTACCTCACTGCTCAGAGCAGTGAGACAAAAAAAAAAAAGGGTGACACTATGAAGACAATAAGTATCCTACTTAGTCTTCACTAGCCGGGGGAAAAAGAAACACACCAGCTTTTGTGCAGTGCAGGTTCCCTCACATCACAAACAAGTTGATAGTACAGACATGCCTGGTATGTTCAGCATTCCATATCAAGCAAAGATGAATTAGCCGCAACAAAAATGTGTTACAGCTTTCATGCAGCAGTTTATGGATCTTTTTGTACCTCTGGAATTTTTTACCTTGAGCATCGTGGAACTTGTACTGTTTCAGATCTTTTCCTCAGATTATTTTTACCTCATGGTGAGGAACATCTCTGTGAGTTCTGAACAATTTTACAGCTGCTAGGATGCTAATGGGAACTTCATGTGTGTACCCAGCACAAGTGCTCTCAGGGAAAAAAAAGCCAATGTCAAAGGAAGGTATGCAGAAGTCACCATAAATATGTCTTTGAATGTTTACCATCTGGAACAGTAGATTACATTTTGACAAGAAGCTGGACTGCCCCGTGGGCATTGTCTTTTAAACAGCCCCATCATTATAAAGGAAGGAAAAACATGATTTGCTGTTCCTAGTTTCTCAGCAAGATTTTCTGGCAGTGCTAGAGAAACTAGTTGGGGTTTTTTTTTTTCTCTTTCTAGTAAAACAATAACAAGCTGGCCATGTGTAGTTGGCTATGCACTTTCTTGAAAAAATATGGTTTGTTATAGATCATCTGACCCACAAAGAGGGATGCACTGCAGCTAGGTAGTGACAGCAGCAGGCTGTGCAGCTCACAGTGCTGCACCTTAGCTTTGGAAGACTAAACCTCTCTGTGCTGAAGCTGGCGTGTTGGACTTCTCACAGGACACACTGGGAGAAAGAGGAGAAATCCAATATACAAGACTTTAACATAGAGTCATAACAAGGTTTTCCTTTGGTTTTGTTTTTCATTTTAAGCTTGTAAAAGTTTCCATCACTTTTTACAATGAGAAAGTGTGGAGTGAGAGAAAAATCAAAACAGTCAAATTTATTCACAGAAACGGGTCTGGTTGTGCAGTCATTTTAGGGATTTAGCTAATTCTCTGTTTCAAATTGCTGTGGATGACTTCTGAGGATACATTCATACTAAAGAATGTGTTTGGAAATACAAACTGAGAACAACCTGTAAAGGGGCCAAATAGTCTCTTCAAAAAAAAAAAAAAAAAAAAGTCCACAAAAAAGTTGGTTTGAGGCAAAAATATATGTGCAACCCAAAACATGGGTTTATGGGCATTGTTACACAGTTGAATGCCAAAATCACAAAGCACCAGCTATAAATCCCCTTGCTCAAGCTACTAAACAGATCTTATTTCAGAACACATTATATACAGTATTATTTATAGAATATCTCACCTGTAAGTGGTGAGGACAGTGTTAGATTTCTTTCACGAGTAGGAGGCCAATAATTCATAAGCACCACAGGTATGTGAGAGTTAGTGTGAAGATCTGTTATAGTGCAAAAGAAACAAATAATTTCATTACTCTGCACAGGAAGATAGCATATATATATGCAGCAAATCTTTCACTAAAAAAAAAAAAAAGATAAATGAAAGGAAAATAACCCATCCTCTAATTTCTCCATCTAGATAATTTAGAGTAAAACAATGAGAACATCTTCTCTGATAAGCTAACATACTGTAATTAGTGATAACATTTCTGACTTCTTAGTTAATTTGCTGGGCTTCCCATGCTCTAGACATCAATGAACTTAATAGCGGAATTAAATGAAAATGATAGCAGAGTACTTCCATAACTAATTTCTAATTACATTTCTGCCCCTCTTCCTTCCTAAGCATAAATTTTGGCTTACTTTTAATTAACACTTCAGATCACTAGTTTAGAATCTATAAATATAGCGAGACTTTAATGATCCATTATAGTGATGCTACTTAGTTTTCAATGACTTGTAAAACTTTCACAAACAGATCTGCAAATGAATTACATCCATCTGCTCTGCTGCAGCTGCAAGAGCAGCATTACATTGCACCCTGCCTTTCCCTACTTTCCTGATTTTCTCTTAACTTTAAGCCCATGTGTAAGCCAAACCATCTCGATGCCGATCATCAGAAGCCCAGCCAGGTCTCTATAAATGAGCCTTCAAACTTTACAGACATCTCAAACGCACTTTCCAAAACAGTCTGGTTTGCCTCACAGCTGAGCCCCAGACAGGCTGCACGCCACTGAAGCATCCTCCTCAAAGCCTAGGAAGTACTCTGCCGCGGTTCCTTCTCCCGCCCGACCGCGGATCTGTGGGAACGCGGAGGCGTGTGTACCCGCAGCCCCGGCACCCACCCGTGCCCGGCTGCCGCCTCGCCCGCGCCGCCGCGGGCACACACGTGTGCGCGGAGTGCGGAGCGGTGCCTGCGGGGCGCGGGGGGCGCGGGTAGAGGAGGCACCCGCAGGGCTGGGACACGCCGCTCCCGGGGAGATTTTCCAATCTACACCTCCGAAAGCGTGACCTTAGCGGCGCTGAGAGTGTTAGCTCTATGAAGACAGCCAAGCGTCAGGCTGTGCTCGCTGTTATCTGTCAGCCGTACAATAGCAGCATTGATAAGGCAGCAGCAACTGGCTTTGACAAGTGTGCTGTGCTAGCATTCCTCTGAAAACCGTGAAGGAAAAGGAGGAAAAAAAAAAAAAAAAAAAAGAAAGAAAAAAAGAAGGAGGCATGAAGTGCCTTTTACTTTACCTGAACGAAGTATGGGATTTTACTTTTTCCTTTGAGATGCTGGAAACGATTGCTCCCTCTTCTCCCCCAAAGCTAGGTGTTTCTTCTTTTGCTTGCAGCTCACACTTGGGGAAGACCACACAGCTCCAGCAAGGCTGCCTCTCTCCCCTAATCCCCACTCGAGTGTGATGACACACACTAACCCCAACCATCTGTTGAAACACGTCCTCAAGCACTCAGCACAGTGGTGTGTCAAGACGGGCTGCCCAATCCAATCGCTGGGGTTGGGTGGCTCTTAAGGAGCTGGAGGCAGAGACAAGGGCAGAAACTATAGGGCTGAGAACTCTTTAGCAAAGTAACCTGAGATTTTGAAAAAGGGCTGCTATGGAAAAAAAGAGCAGAAGGGGGAGGTACTCGCGGGAAGGTAGAGGGAGTGGATTAGTCTGGTGGCCAGTTGTGTAACTTCTTACAACTCCTTGTATTCCCAGAGGACCACTGGGACCCCCTCGCAGTGGGATGCACACCAGCACAAGAGCAACACTAAAATGTTTTTATGGCGCGTCTATTGAGGGCAATCTCCTCCGAGAGACGCTTTTCTAAAAGAGATAAAAGATGCAGCCTGAAATCCTGATAAAGTGCTACTGCGGGAGTCGTTTGCACGGCAATGTGACATTTGCATCCCGAAATCCCAACTCCTTACCGTGTCCCGGTTACCCCTTGGCTACCTCCAGCCTTCCTGGGAGAACGGCGGAGAGAGGCTGGAGGAAAACCGAGGGGCGAGGCGGGGAGAAAAGGGGAAATCCAAAGGGCAGATATTTCTGCTCCTGCACACAGACATCTGCGAGTACTTCCCCCCCACCACCACCACCCCGAGCCCGCGCTCTCCGGGACGCGGGTTAAGCGCCTCGGCTGCCCGGCGTGCCCAGCGGCTCGCTCGCCCAGCGGCACTCGCTGCTCGCCCGCCCCGGGGCTGCTGCAGCAGCCGCTCCGCGCCCGCCGCGCTGCTCTGACAGCTCCGGCCCCCGCCGGGTCCCCGCACCCCTCCCTCCCGCCCCTCTGCCGCGGGAAGCGCTGCCACCAGCCTGTTGCTTCCCCCGTTCCCCACCCGCTTCCGCCACCTTCGCGCCGCCTCGGGCCGTCTTGCGGGATGCAGCTGCAGTTTCGGGGTCGCCGCCCTTCTCCCGGAGACCCGTCACGGCCCCAGTCCGGGCTAGGGGCTCCGGGCAGTGCCGCAGCAGGTCTGGGCTGCGTCTAATCTCTACCTCAGTTTCCCTCCGCCACAAAGCAAACATTATCACACCACCCACTTTCTCTCAGAGACACTGCCAGGAAAAATCCACTAATTTATAGAAGATGTCCGGGAAGGATAGATAAGGGACACGGAAAAACTGCTAAGTGCCAGAGAAACAGTTCTTTCCTTTCCCCTGCCTGTAATAGGATAGCGTGGAAGATTTAAAATCTCAAGGGTTTTTACCTCATTACCAAGTGCCTGACTTGACACTTGCATTAAATCTACATTTCACATTATGACAGATGCTCCGTTTCCTTTGAACTGAAAGGGAAGGACATCGTTCTGGCATTAAAAGTTACTCTGAAAGTGTTAACATCCAAGTTGAGGAAAGGTTTGCAACTGTGAAAAGACACACTCTGCCCAGCTATATGAAAGCCATATGAGAGTCCTGAAATGTTGGTTTGGCTTACTTGTTCTTTAATACCTTACAAAAGGGTGTTTCTGAAGGACTAGTGGCAAAGAGAATACTTAATAAAAAGTGAGATTCAAGAGCTGGGGTCTGTGCCCAGTTAGCCGTTATCAGAGCTGACCTGGAGAAGAAAGGAAAAAGAAGAAACTGTAGTCGCATTTGCTCAGATTCTTCCCCAAAGTAATGATACAGTGTCTGTTTCAGTTTATTACTCTGAAACTGCTATCACAGATGTTGGTTATCCACTAAAACACTAGTCCCCAATCTGCTAATTCCAGATACATAAACAGCTGAACAATATTTTTGACAATAATATGTGGTGAAGTAGGGATGCAACTACAGTCCCTGGGGTATTGTAACATTCTTAACGTTGCCAATTATGTCTTCAGGGCAAGGGTTTGGTTTGATTTTCTTTCATTCTACCAGACTCTGGTCTGTAAACAGGCTGGATAACCTTACATATTCAGAAAGCCCTGGAGACTTTATTAAACTCATTTGCATTCTCTTTAGCTGTACTTCCATTACTAGTATTGCATAATAACTGCATTAAAAAATCAGTAGTGATCAGAAATGTGGAATATCAAAAAGCTCCCACATTTGTGCTGTATCATCCTGCGTACTGACTCACTGGCTAAAATGCAGCTCAGCTCATGGCTGCTCTATTTGATGAGATGCAAACTCAACAAGGTTCAATCTCTAGACACTTCTAACCAATAGGAATGCCAGTTATGTGCAGTACAATTATTTTATGTTGTGCCGTTTGTATGCTTACACAATGCTGTGTATTATATTTGTATATAAATATACATAAGCAACTTACTGAGCATTTGTGTGCTGTACAGGCACAGATCTGTTAGTTTTGTGCCTGTGTCAGTCAGGGATGCCTCAGCTGATGCCTGTCAAGTCAAATAGTGTAAAATTGACGTGGTTAAAAGGATCCCTAATTGAGTGTTTTGTACACAGAGACACATGCACACCCACGTTTATCTTCTAAGCCTCTGCAATTATTTGAAATACAGTGAAATACATCTCCATAACCAATGTTAGCAATAGCCCCCAAACACTGCACATGATCATGTTTTAGCTTAAAAGCTATTGCTGATGCTGCAGGATATTTTAACTGCTCATTGTATGACTGCAGCCAGATTTAGTTTGCTGTGACAGTTTATAGCAGACTTTTCCACCACTTCTTCTCTATCCAGTCTGCCACATGCAAAGAGTTTAGGTTTTAAAGGCTGAAATGAAAGCTGAACTGGAAGAGCCATATCCGAAATGCTGTTAAAATTATGCATCATAAAACAGGTTCTCAAGTTGACTATCAAACCCATGAACTCTTGCTAAGGTCAGGCTGCCCCTCACGCACATAAAACTTGTAACAAAGTGAATAATGCTTTATGCAAATAACTTCAGACAATCCTAATATGCAAGATTAATTGTAGGTAATTGTGATATTGAGAAACAGTCAAATCTCTGTTTTGTTCCCAGAGATAGCATGTTCCTTACATAGTAGCTCCAGTTGGTTTCCATGGTAGCCAACAGCATCTTTAAGCCAGGGCACTGAGCTTCACTCAGTGATGCCCAGACCTAAACTCACCACCTTTCTTCCAACACAGATGGCTTTGGCAGTTTCCTGTCTCCCTGTGGACATATCTACACATTCACATACATGCACTTCTGCTCAAGAACCTCATGTAATTCTCAATTCTGGCATTTTCAGCTCTCAAAAATAATTAAAGGGGATTTTTCATGGTTCCTGCAGCAACCTCAATCTATCGCCCCTGTCAGTATTAATAGAACCTGATTGTTTATTTCTTTGAATAATTACAAGTCTATTCTGGATTCAATTATTTTTTAAGAGTTTGGATAGGAACAGAAGAGGTTCTAGAACACAACTACAAATCCACAGACAAGTCTATTTTCAAATTCCAGCCTAAAATGTACTCATGCTCCTGTTGAGTTTGGGTGATATCTTATAAATAATGAGATATAATAAAAAGGCCTCTAAAATCCTGAGTGGCAAAGAAAAGGTTACGAAGGAATTACCAACAAAGGTTTCTCTCTAAAGATCACAGAAAACAGCAGGCTGAAAGAAGCACAGAAAGATATGCTCTTCACATGGAGCACTGTGAAATCTTGGATCTACTTGCTGCAGGATGCAGTGGGGATAAAAATGACATGTGTTCAAGTGTTTGGAGAAGTCCATGGGAAAAAGAAATATACTCACAGCAATTAAATACAAATATATACTTCTGGTACAGGTAATCCCTAAGTTGCTTGGAGCGGATCCTGGACAAGTATCATTCTGTGCTTATCCTATTCTTCCACTTTACTCCAAACATCCACTATTTTCCACTTTTGCAGGGTGCCAAGCCTAGTGGATCCATGCTTTACTGTGGCACAGCTGTCCTTTTTTTCTTAATGAATCTAGCCATTGGTAGGTTTGGGGCTTCACAGTGGGTAGTATAAGAGATGAATTCCTTTTAAGAACTTGAACCTAGATTTTTAGAGGTTAGCCCATAAATCCATATTCAAGAACCTATGTAAAAATGGTCCAGTCAAAAGTACTGATGATACAGTAGCTGCTAGTGAAGCTGGTAGTTCATTTTATTTTTCTCCATATGTGAGCATTCCAAAGTCAGACATAGTATCATGTAGAATTTGGGTGCTAAATCTCAAACTATATTCTGCGCAAAACTCTACTCAACTGTTTCCTAAACTGGAGTCACCTAAATTCCAGAAACACATGGTCTTTTAAAAGCATTCCCCTGGCACCTCTGTGCATTCCCCCATGCTGAAAGCCCAAGGCCAAGCAAGACTCAGGAGGCAAGCAACTCTGCACTGTAGTCCTCTGCATTGCTTCATTGGACTCTCAGAATGGATCTACCAAACTTGGAGAGCTTTGAAAGGCATAGCTAAAGATCAACTGTTTCTTTTACAACTTGGCCAGAGAAAGAAGAAATAAATAACCTGTAGGACATGCAACCAAATATCCACTGGGTAGCTTTCTTCTCACTGCACCTGTTCAAACTCATTCATTTGAACACAACATTCAAAAAAATATTATTCTGTGTAAAAATACAATGGGGTTAATGTACAAAAACTACTGAAAAAATCAGTGAGTTACATAGAGTGCAAGCATAGGAAAATGCAGAAATTCTGCATTCATGCTAATTCAGATACCCCAGAACAATTTCCATATTTTCTAAGGTAATATGCATGGGCATATACATGTAGTCACTCAGTATGAATCGATACATATCTAAAAAGACTGCTTTAGAAATGCATTAAGGGCACAGTTCCAGAACAAAGATTATCTGACTGAGCATAGCTGTTGTGGGATGGGAGAGTATAGACTTCAATTTTTTAAGGAAGATCTCCTGCTCTCCTCCATCTTCCCTGGAACAGAATGAGATGGCATGGAAGTTATACCCAATTATACCCTCAGGACTTCAATGCTAAAAATAGTTCCCCTGAGGGGTAACCAGAATAGAGGATAGAGTGCAGGTGAGACAGACAAAAGTTCATAATTGACTCATTTCATCACAGGGCTCTACAATTTGTCAGATTGTTGTCATCACTATCACTCACCTCCAGACGAAGATTAATGGTTGAAATAATCGTCAGTCTCAAATT